AAAGCTCTCTTACCAAAATTCCCCAGTTTCCCTCCCTTTATTAAGCATTCCCCTGGTTGCTTTAAGTTTTTCATTAGATTCCAGAATTCCAAAAAACATTTCTGAGCATTTTTGCCAGGCTATTTATTGCTTTTGTGGGAAGGTATTTTGTGGGTTTGGTGTTTCCTCTATACCATTTTTGTTCTACCATAATCTCCCAACTCTTTTTATCATAGCATTGATTTTAACTTGATAATGTTAGTGATAATAGGAATCTTCATCTTTTGAATTTCATGCAAATGCCTTTGGCTTTTACCAAAAAATATTATAGTTGTAATTTTTGAATCGCTTATTCTTCAATTATTTCAAGGGAGTATCTTCTTATTCCTTTTTAATTGTCCCCCACCCCAACCCCGTGATCTACTTCTAAGAATCTCATATTAATAGGCTTTCTAATTTTGAAGGATAAACATCTTTTAGCCATCATATATTTTTAGATAGAATATTATTAAACTATACTGAATTCTCTGTATTTACTTTCTTTAAGATTTTTCATTTATATTCACAATAAGATTGTTTACTAGTTTCATGGTCGGATTTTGATTTCAGGATTTGGCTACTCTCTCAAAATGAATGACTCCTTCCACCTTTTTCTTTTCTTAGAAATATGTCCTTTGGGATTGGATAATTTTTATTCTTTGAAAGTTTAAATAACTCACTTCTAAAATTATCCCACCTTGCACCAGTACATCCATTTGAATGGGCAGAAAACTTTTTTGAAACCCCTTTAAAATTCTTCCCTAGCTATTGGTCTATTCTGGTTTTCTACTTCTTGATTTAAAAGGGGATTAGTTACAGGAAGGCATGAAATTAGTTGGCAAAGAGCAAGAAAGTTAATTCAAGGTATTGTAAAATGGTGCTGTCTTATGGGAGCCTTATATGCCATTTAAAAAAATTTGCCTTTATCCCATTGTCAATGAGAGCTGTGGAAAGTTTTTTGAGAAAAGAGATTTTTATTACCTGATGATCAATTTTACCAATCTAGAACTATGAATGGAGTAAAACAGTAGCTCAGGTGTGAATTGAGGGTCAATCCAGCTCAATACTTCAGATGAGGGTCTGCAGTATTGAGGCAGTAGACATGAAAGTAGAAACAAATACAAAAGCCAGTATGTTTGAAGAATTGACATGACTTAATGGCATCCCACAAACAGCATCCTGCTGATACTGAATTCATTTATTTATCAATTCTAATAGTTTTTTTTGTGTGTGTGGAGTCCTTAGGGTTCTTTCTATATACAGAAGGTGCCAAAAAGTGTATACACATTTTAAGAAAGGAAAAAACTTTATTAAAATTGTAATAATATATACCAATAATGAAAGATGAATACAAGCCATGTGTATACATTTTTTTGGCCACCCCTCCCCCCCAGTATAGTATCATGTCATCTGCAAATAGGTAGTTTTCCTTCTTCCTTTCCAATTCAGATGACTTTTATTTACAGCTTCCTAGATTAAGTAGTTTGCACTATTTTTGCAATAAATTCATAGAAAACCTAACAGTTATATGTTTTGTTTCTTACTGTGTGTATATAAACTAATACTAAAAGTTTGGTGTAGTGTTTTTTGACCTTCTTACATAACCCTTAACAAGCACAGGATGCTGTAAATCTGATAAAATATGAAGTGAATGATATTTGTAAAGTTATGTATGGTGTCAATTTTGTTTTGCTTCATAGTATGTCAGTAAAAAAGTAATATAAAATTCCTTTTATTTTAAATAAAATGAAAAAATAAAGACTATTTTATCTCATATAAGCATTTGTACCCTAGCCTTTTTTTTCATTTCCATTCACATAAAATATTTGTTTCCATTCCTTTACTTTCAGTGTGTATATCTTTCAATCTGAAGTGGATCTCTTGTAGGCAGCATATGTAAAAACCTTGTTTCCTTATCTACTCAGCTCCTGTATGTCTTTTGATTGGAGCATTTAATCAATCCATTTACATTTAAAGTGATGGTTGATAGGTACATAGCTATTTTATTTTATCTTATTTTGTTTTGTTTTATTTTATTTAATTATGTATTTAGAAGTCCCTTTAACATTTCTGTGATACTGGCTTGATGGTAATGAACTTTAACTTTTTCTTGTCTGGGAAGCTCTTTATATTTTCTTCTTCAATTTTTAATGATAACCTTGCTAAGTAGAGTAGTTTTGATTGTAGGTTCTTGCTTTTCATCACTTGGAATATTCATGCTAATTCCTTTTGGCCAACAAAATTTCTCTTGAGAAATCAGCTGACAGTCTTGTAAGTAACTGGCTGCTGTTATCTTGCTGCTTTTAGGATTCTCTTTTTGTCTTTAGCCTTTGGCATTTTAATTATATGCCTCGGTGTGGTCCTCTTTGGACTCATCTTGTTTGGGACTCTTTGCACTTCCTGGGCTTTGTATGTCTGTTTCCTTCACCAGGTTAGGGAAGTTTTCAGTCATTATTTTTTCTAATAGGCTTTCAATCCCTTGCTCTCTCTCTACTCCTACTGGTACCCCTATGATGCAAATGTTGGTATGCTTGATGTTTTTCCAGCGGTCCCTTAAACTCTCTGATTTTTTTGGATTCTTTTTTCTTTTTGCTGTTTAGATCAAATGTTTTCTGTAACCTTGTCTTCCAAATCACTGATTCAATCCTCTGTTTTATCTAATTTGTTGTTGATTCCTTCTAGTGTATTCTTCATTTCAGTTATTGTATTCTTCAGTTCTGATTGGTTCTTTTTTATGGTTTCTATGCTATTTTTTTTAATGTATACTTACTATGTCTTTGTTGAAGTTCTCCCTGAGATCATTGAACATCCTTATAACTAGTGTTTTGAGCTCTGTATCTGGTGGGTTGCTTGCCTCTATTTCCTTTAGTTCTTTTTTGGAGTTTTGTCCTATTCTTTCATATGGGACAGGTTTCTTTGTTTCCTCATTTTGGCTGTCTCCCTGTGTTAAATTGTACGTAATAGATAGATCTGCTATGTCTCCAAGTCTTGGCTTGGTGGCCTTATGTAGTAGTTGCCCTGTATTGCCCAGTGGCACAGTCTCCCTGATCACTTATGCAGATGTTCCAGGAGTGTCCTTCGTTTGGGTTGTGTGTGCTTTTCTTGTGTAGTTGAGCCTTCATTGCTGTTCACATGTCAGTGGGTGGAATTGACTCTCAGGCTGACTGGCTGTGAGGATTGGCCCACAGTGTACAACCTGATTTGTGGTGGTTGACCCCACAGAGTAGGATTTGCTCCACGAGGCTCTAGTGCCTACCAAGACTGCTCTTTGGATGGTTTGTTTATCCAGCTAATCTGTTGTGGTCTGAAGCTGGGCCACTGGGTTTGTTGGTTTTGGGGTCTCTTGGGAGGGGCTCCTGTGTAGGTCAAGGTCAGCCACTGCCTGTGACCTGCAGTGGGGGCTACCTGTAGGAGGTACAAAGTGATCTGTGGTTGGTCGCTGCCTGTGCTGGACTTTGAGGCAGTTGGGAGAGGTCATGTGTTAACTGTGGCCAGCTACCACCAATGCAGGACCTGGGGCAGCTCAGCAAAAGGCCTAGTACCCCCCGAGGCCTGCCTTCACCCGCATGCTGCCCATAAGGGTCAGCCACTAAAGACTCTTGGGTGGTACATGAGGCATGGGTGAGGCATGGTCTCAGGGAGCCCCCAGGGTGAAGCAAGTGGTTTTCACCAGGTTAATGCTGATTCAGGTTTAGTGCCAGTGCTGAGCCTGGGTGCACTCAGCAAAATTCTCAGAGCACACTGAGACCACCTGCTACCCATCTGGGGCCTATGGACCCCAGAGAGTTGCCCAAGAAAGACTGCAACATGCACTGGGGCTGGCCACCTACCTCCAAAAATGCCTCCTATAATGTAACCTTCTTGAGCATCTTTTATCTTCCCCCTGGATTTATTTAACTTCCTCACAGCAGGCAATCTACTAGCTTATTCCCCCTGGTCTTCCTTAATTGTCTTCTTTATTTTATTTCTAAAAGCTGATTTGCTTTACATTAAGTGATTGAATAGGAGATTTTCAGGAATTGATATAGTTGTGATAGTTTTTGAGTGATAATTCAATAATAATGATAATTTCAAGATCGGAGTCAGAAGTTAATGGAGATAGAATCATATCACACAACTGATGTAATAGCTTTTATCCATGTAAAACAGCCTTTCATTTCTTTGGGTGTATTTTCAGTGCCATAAAAAAAGACCATAACAATTCCACCCACTGAGGCCCATTTTGTTCAAAATGAATTATTTGGTTTTTCTATGGAACAATCTTGTGTAAATCAGAGTCTAACATGTTGGGTATTCAATAAAAAATTAAAAATTAAAAATCTCATGAGTATATTATTGATGCACCTCTCTGATAAATATAAGAAATATAATAAATAAGCACTTAATTAATATGAAGCATATTATTAATAAACATGTAGTTATAGATATAATAAAGTATAATTTGTTTATAAAAAAGTTCCTATCCCTTTTGTTATTAACATTATGACCAAACTTTCTTGGGAAGCAAGGAAAAATAATCACAAATTGTTAAATATAAAATTAGTTGTATAGGTTTGCAAAAAAGAGAAACAAGTACATTTTGCAATACATGTTAAAATGATTTTTTTTCTTTTTCTAGAACATACCGAGGGAGAGCCTATTTTAAACGGTGCTTTGATAAGCAAGCAACTGAAGATTTTTCTGTTGCAATTCACTTAGATCCTAATAACTGGGTAGCACTGTATTACAGAGCCTGCATATTTAGAAAGAGTAACCCTCTTAGAGCGCTGCAGGATTATAGTGTTTCAGGTACTTTGCCTTCAACTGCACATAAATAGGAGTTTGATCTTAGGTTCAGCAGTTCACCTTCATAAAGTAGAATCTGAATGTGGGATAACTAATATAATATGAATGTTATATAGTTTTATATATAGTTATATATTAATATAGCATATATATCCATATATACCTATAAGCTACAATAGTTTAGCTAAGGGTATTTCTAATATGCCCTTTTAATGTACGTGAGTACATGTGTATTTTTACATGTGTATGCAGCTGTGACAAAGGAAGAATGTCATATCTAAGAAATATCTTTCTACATACTGAGTTCTGAGGATATTTCTGGAAATTCAGAGCTATTTCTTACTCAGATTGCTAAAATGGTAGTGACTTCTTTTGGTGAGCTGTGTCCTGCTCCATAGGCCCAGACCATGGATTAGTCAAATTTAGAGTGTTTTACCTCTTAAACCAGAAATGGGCTTTGAGAATCGCCAGTAAGACAATGCCAACAGTTAAAAGTGGTTATTTCCATCTTACCCTATTATCAGTGCATTCTTGGTATGTGAATATACCCAGCACAATTATGGGCATAGAGTAAGTGCTCAGTAAACAGCCCCTAGCCGAATCGGTTAGCCCATCCTGACTGGGAAATTCTAGCTAGAGCCGAACTCCCCAAACATGGCTGTGTTCACCTGGGTATAAAGTGCTAGAATCCCATCATCCTGGATGAGGCAGTATCTAGAGCAGGGGTCGGCAAACTTTTGAGACAGAAGAGCCACCAGGGGTCGGCAAACCGGGGCTCGGGAGCCACAAGTGGCTCTTCGGGTACGTACATGTGGCTCTGAAGTAAAATTGAAAATGAAAATAAAACTATCCTAGTTTCATTTATAAAAATTTTAAAAGATATTATTCACATAATGGTGATTATGTAAAAATATATTTATGTCTCTCAAATAATTTTTAAATTGTTGTGAGGGACAGGATTGGCTCTTCCAGGGGTTGGCAAACTTTTGAGATGGAAGGTACCCAAAGAGCCGCATGTGGCTTGAGAGCCGCAGTTTGCCGACCCCTGGTCTAGAGGTTAAGAAACAACTAGAAAGAGAATATAGAACTTCTCCGGGCAGGCAATCTAAGATGATTGTTGCTTGATGTTTCTAAGTCCATTTGTATAGTCAAATTACCTGCCTTAACTCCAAGTCTCTTTGAGCTGCCCATCCTGGTTTATGTGTGTAAGCTGGATCTCTGCCATGTGCCTCAGTCTAGACTTGTACTAAAGCCTGTTCTTTGGCCATTAGCAATGCCTCCCTGTCTCCCATCAGGGCCATCAAGGGCAATGGCACCCTTCTGATTGCAATCCAATGAAATGAATCAGAAGTTTCATTCTAGATTCTAAGCCCATCTTTGCCACTGACTTCCACCACAACCTTGGGCAATGTACCTAGCCTTCTTTGGGCCTTAATCTCTTTGTCTGTAAAGTGATTGGACTATCCTAGATTACCATGGGGATTTCTTCCAGCTCTAATGTGTTGGTGAACCATGGTAGCCACATTGTTGCTTATAAACAAATACAGTTTATGTGAATATTATTTTTTCACTCTTCAAATAAATATACTCATTGTAGATATGTTTCATTTTATATAATCTTAAAGAATGATAAGAAGTAGGAAGGTTATAGACTAAAATATAGCTCAAGTATGTTTGTTCAGAAGCTGTATAAGAGGTATACTTTTATTTTTAAGCTCTCATAAATGATGGCTATGAAAATTTTAGTTGTTTTCTACATCGGGGCATACTCTATGCAGATCTAAAACTTTGGTCGCTGGCAATCTGTGACTTTGAAACTGTTATTTCTCTAGAAAGGTATGTTTTCCTTTTCCTTCTTACTAATTTCACTATTGTATAAAATTCAGAAAGAAAAAACCAAAATGAAAGAAAAAGCTTTCCTCCTCATCATTAATAACTGTAAAAATGAGACAATTTATCAAGTCATGCTAAAATTAGACTATTACTTCTAAAAATAAGGTTATTTTAAAAATAAGACCTGTTGTCATCATCTGTTTGCCTCAGATATTTTTTGCCAATTTTAGAGGTCGAATGGGTTTGAGAGGAATTAAATCCATAGAAAACAAAATCAACAAGTTATTAGGAGCAGTTTGGGGATGCCTAGGTTAGAATTTTCAGAAATTAACTTCATGGAACACTGTCATCAAGTTTTAAAACAATGACAAAATATTCTGCTTGATACATCATTGTTATGCACAACACGCAACTCAAAAGAAGTACACCTCTATTTAGAACTTTTGACTTCATTTTGCTTAGTAAAACAAAAGAAAAAAGGACAATAACATTTAGAACATAAGTTCAGGAAGAAACACAGACTTAAAGTTATACACACTAGTCAGCAAGCTAAGCTGTAAAACATAGAATTTAATTAAATAATTCCTTCCTTTTTTCCAATGAAGCATTTATTAAAATGGAAGGTGTCAGAAAGAGTAACAAATCATGCCAACCAGCAGACTGTTTATTTAGCTGATCAATATGGTAAACTTTGAACTTGACTCAGGAAAGTCATGAGCATGGCTCTATAATGGCTGCAGTGGTTCTCTTTTGGATATTTTTGAGCCAGGAAGGGAAAGAAAAGAGCTTTAGTTGCAAAAAGCCAACTGGGCAGTTGGAACTTTGACATCTTTTAGGTAAAGGGTCAGGGCTTCTATGAATTTGGGCTGGAGGTCAGGGCTAAAGTTGTCTGTTTCATCATTTTGAAATAGAGGCATCGGACAAGGTCATTTCTATATTGAAAATTGTTTGATTCTTAGAGAGAAAACAACATTTATTTGATATAGAAAATAAGCGGTGTTGATACTTATGTGAAGCTGAGAATTTTTAACTACATACCTTGAAATTATTACTATTTCTCACTGTTACTCAAGGTGAATATAATATAGCCTGAGGCAAAAACTTCTGAGTTGAGGGAAACTAACCTTGTAATTCAAGATAAGTCAAGATTAAGTCAAGGAAGAGTAAAGTATTGCTAGGAGTCCAGAAGACTTCAGAAATTCTGCTCCTAGCCTAGACTCTACAAATGCTAACTCCCTGCTAAGGACTTTACAAAGGTGTTTATAATTTTTAATAGAAAGTAGTTAACTAATTTACTTTGCTTTAGTAAGACATTAAAAAAAAACCCTGATATATATTGATGTTTGTATTTCATTAAGTTCATTCATAATTGGAGAACGTTTGAAATAACCAAAATGTTTAACAAGATTTTGCTTTCTTCTTTTTTTTAGAACTGTTACTTTGGCTTATATAAATATTGGCCTCATATATCTGCTACACTTGGATGACTACTTTGAAGCCTCTTGGTATTTTTCTGAGGCTATTAGACTTGATCCTTCATGTATTCAAAGTTATATTTGTCAAGCAGAAGCTTATTATAAGGTATTTAAGGTTTGAGAACCTTGATTTTTTTTTAAAAAGTTTTAATTTTCTGGATATTTGTTTAATACAATTGAAAATATATTAATGTATTCTTTTTCAGCTAGTTATAGAGGCTAATACATTTATAAGCAATAAATATTTACTATAGTTAAGTATAATTGCCCACTTATAAAGCCTCTACTGATGAGGTATGAATTTTTGTCTTTCATTTTCTTTTTGTTTAAAATTATACTTGTTCTCTTTATTATAAAAGCAGCATTTATTTATTGCATATAATATATATATATATATGCAAATAAAAATAAATTTAAAACTCTGTAATTTCATTGTCTAGAGATAACTTATATTACATTTTAGAGTATCAGTTATGCATTTGTGTGTGTGTGTGTGTGTATTAGTGAGTGCGTGGGTTTGTAGAATGGAATTCATGCATAGAATGGGTCCTATTCATTCATGCTTTCCTTTAAATTTTGTTTAAATTTACAGTTATTTAAATTACAGTTATTTAAATTTAAAAATATAATTAAAAAAATGTAAATTTAAAAATCCTGTAACAAATTCAAACAATACAATAAACAGCAAAGTCTTCTTTGACTCCAACCAAATCTGACTTTCCAGAGATAAACACGCTGTTAACTGTGGCCTCTGCTTTTCAAAGCAGAGACCCCTTTCCCCTTCTCCACTGCTAACCTCCCTGCCCAAGACACTGTCATTTCTCACCAGGTTTATTGCAGTAGCCTCCTGGTCTTGCTTCTGTTCTTTACCTCTTTTTGATGGATTTTCATCACAACAACCTGTTATAGTGATCCTGTTATAGCCTTTCTCATTTCACTTCTTTGCTCAAATAGCTTCAATAGCTTCACTTTGCACTCAGAATAAAACCCAAATCCTGCAAAAGTCAAAGGCCTACAAGAGCGCATGTGATTTAGCTCCTCATTACCTTTCTGCCCTTGTCTCCTATAAGTCCTCTAGTCACACTGGCTTCAGTCAGGATAGGCTAGGTTATGGTGTGCGGGGGAAAACACACACACACACACACACACAAATAAAACAACCTCCCCCGCAAAACGCAAACAAACAGAAAAAACCCACTTCAAAAATCACCATGTTGGGGCTGGCTGAGTGGCTCAGTTGGTTAAGAGCGCGAGCTCTGAGCAACAGGGGCACCGGTTCGATTCCCACATGGGCCAGTGAGCTGCACCTGAGCTGAGCTGCCGCTGAGCTGCCATCAGGTGGCAAGATGGCTCAGCTGGTGAGAGCACGTGCTCCTAACAACAAGGTTGCCGGTTCAACTCCCACATGGGGTGGTGGGCTATGCCCACCAGCAACTAAGATCGAACACGGCACCTTGAGCTGAGCTGCTGTGAGCTGCCAACGGGCGGCCGGTTGGCGATTGGACTTGGAGCTGAGCTAGCTGCGCCCCCACAACTAAGATGGAAGGACAACAACTTGGCTATTCCCTTTCCCCAACTCCCCAACACTGTTCCCCTTCCTCAATAAAATCTTAAAACAAAACAAAACAAAACAAATCACCATGTTAAAATAACAAAGGTTTCTCTCTTGCTCACACTGCATGTCCACTGAGAGAGAGTTGGCTCAAGGCTCTGTTCTCCACTGTCTACATTTCAGGACCCAATGTGATGAGACTCCCATTTAAAGCTCCTACCTTCCTGATGATGGAGGTAGAAGACCCAGGGCAGGTTTAGAATTGTCCTCAAGGAAAGTTTGCTCTTGACACCTGTTGGGGAAGAAATGGGCATATTGTGGTGTGTGGTGTTTTTGCTTAACTGCATGCTGTTGGGGAAAATTTGGAATTTCTTTTGAGTGCACTTAAGAACCAAAGCACCAGCATAATATCAGGGTATAAGCACATATATTCAAAAGCTCATTTCCTGAGGAGGCAAACATTTCTACACAGTAACAGTTGAATAAATTGTGTTGTATTCACACCATAGAATGTCATGTAGTTAATAAAAAGAATAATTAGAACTATGTCAGCTGACTGGGAGGCTATTTCCATGAGATACTGTTGAATGAGGAAAGCAAGATTCAGAAAAAAAGTATAAAGTGTACAATATGATCCCATGTAAATAAAACAATTACAAATCAAACCCTGTGTGTGTATATAGAATAATACTTATGCCTACTGTGTGGGTTCTGTCTCCAGGGTGAATCTCATCTAAGGCTGCCTGGAGAAGTCCAACACCAGAACAGCTTATAAAGATCAGAGAATGAGCCTCCATTTATCCCAGCGAGGGTTCCCTCAGGGCATAAACACTGTTGGGACAGGTGGAGCCATGCAGACATGTGACTAGATTATTTAATAATTACACCAATCTGAGCAGGGTCAACTTGAGAAGCGGTTGGCCTAAAGTTCCACAGAAATTCTCAGTATTTTAAAAATACATCTCAAACTCTCTCCTTTTGGGTTCCCTCTTTTGACTCCACCCACTATTTTCTCCTAATAGGTTGTACCATTTAACAAGTACTGCCTGCTTCCAAGCACAAATTAGTTTTGTGCATTCTTCTCTTTGCGTCACGTTTCAGCATAGGAAGAGAAGTCACTGGTTGTCTCAGGTTCATTTTGCTGGAGTCTGTGTTGTCCTCCTTATATAATATTCCCAATGGTTTTTGTCCCCAAATTTGTACAAATCCAGGTTATGCTTCCGTGATCAGTATTAAGGAAATAATCAATGTTTACTTTTTATTTTATATTGATTTTAAGCAGACATTTTTTTCATCATTCTTGTATTTTGTTTTATTCATTAATTTACTCATTAAAGTGCAAGCCTGTTTTTTTTTCTCTTATTTTTAAGTGGAATTGACTTTTACTTTTTAATTTTACTCTCCTTTGCATACTAGTTTATTAATATGAGTAAAGTTTGGTGGAAAAAGTGTTGTAGTTGATGGAAAAAAACTGAAAAGCTAAACAAAAAGGAAGACAAACTAGAATGTATGATATAATCACATTTATGTAAAATTACATGGGTGGGTATGTTAAAAACTCTTTGAAATGAAAGAGAAATGGTTTTTAAAAACCATAATACTTTGCATCATAAACTTTTAAAAAAAAACTTCTTTGTATCCCATTTGCTATGTGATTCTTAAGAAAAATGTGTATTAGGAGATGTTTTTGCAAGATTTCTGTATTGAAGGATGGGAGGGGATAAACATCAGAAAGGAAGCCATCAGTATTGTTATGAGCTAAGTTTCTGTTTATCACTCAACAGTTGCATAATTTGAAAAGGGCGGTAAGAGAGTTATCTCGTGCTATCCACCTTCAGCCAGATGGAATCAAATTATATATAATAAGGTATGGGTATAGAAATAAAATTCTTTTTGGGATAGCTTAGCAACTGAGCTAGGAATCTTTAGTTCTCTCTTGATCCTTCCAGACTCCTTGCTTTACATTTAATCTTTCAACAATGGCCATCACCCAGCCAGCAAGTTGGATAGTTATTGTTTTTGTTAAGCTTCAAGATAATTTATAATGTAAGATAACCAGATCTTTCTCTTTGCTATCACCTTACATCAAAACACAACTGTTTAGTGTTTAAATTCTTTGAGGCCTCTCTAGATTACTGGTTATATAGTCATCACATAGCTCATGAAATTAAGGTAACATATTTTGAACAGTTTGATTCTGTCCACAGAGGTACCAAAAGTAAATCAGTTAATTCAGTGAAAAAAGAAAAAAAGTGACACATTGAATTGTGTTTCAAATGCAGTAGAGCTTGCTATAAAAAGACCCATTGCGAGTTAAGAGTTATCACTACCAAAAATATGTTATAGTCTCTTACATGGGAAACGGGCTTACAAATATGGGAAAATGAACTAGAACAATGCTTTCTGATAAGGGCTTGCTTTGTTTTTAAACTCTTGAACCACAGTTTAGCAGTTTATGTAAATACTTCCCCACTTTTTTTGTCCCTTGAACTGTGTTTATCTTTTAGTAATTTCTCAGCATCACAGCATAACATTTTAAATACAGACAATTGCAAAAAGTTTTGACTATTTTTCTTTCAGCTTCACATTTCCTAAATTGTTTTCTTATCACATCTCCAAGCTAATTGGTCCATTTAGACTACATAAAATGTTTATAATTTTGATAGTTTTTATCATACATATATGTAAGTATAAATAAATCTATTATAATTGTAAAATTTTAAGTAGTTGGTTATAAGAAACTTTACTGTAGAAAAATTATTTTCAGCTGCTTAGAATTAAAAAGGTATTATTTCTTCCAGAGGACAATATCTTCTTATGATGAAATGTTATGATCTTGCAAAGTTCACTATTTATCAAGTAGCAGAAATGAACAAAGGTAAATAAAATTCATTCAAAATTATGATCATCTTAATTTAAAGAGAAACACTGCTTTAAAACTTTAAAACAATTTGCCATAGCTATGTATAAATAGCTTGGACGGTTGACTTGAAAGTCAAGTTAGATTCTGAAATCTTAAAGCTTCCGTTTCACTTGTACACGATCAGTTAGTAAAATGGTTCATAACATTGTGAATTTTATGAGATTTTCATAGGAAATACCAGGCTTACACTTTTATTTATGTTTGTTTGTAATCGAAATGTCTTTTGTTCGTTGATAGTCAATAGATTTTAGCATCATATTGATTTGTTAATTCATATTAAAACAAGTCATTGAATTGCTTGACTTACTTAGAATGATTGCGTATATTCTAAATCTTAGATATTTGACAAAGGCACTGATAAGCTTTCCTTTCCTTTTAGGTCTCATTGAGTTGAGTCCTATACAGCAAGCATTCATTTATTCATTTTGTGAAAACCATGACAAGGCCATTCAGGTCTTGGATGGGATCATCTTGAATAAGCCTGAGATCACCACGTATACTCTATTAGGAAAAGCCCAGATGAAGGCCAAGAGAAACAAGGTGCAAAGTCTTAAGTAATGTTTACTAAACCTATTAACAGAATTTTTATATTTTGCTTAGAATGCTTAGATTTATTTTTTTACAGAATTAAATTATACCATTTTTTATTTGAATCTTTGTTAATTAACACTTGGGTTGTTTCCTTTCATTTTTTTTTCCTCTTAAGAATGGGGCTGCTATACATATTTTTTTTCATGTCTTCTATTAACACGTGGAATAGTTTTCCAGCATTTTCCAGAATGTCCTAGGAGTTGAATTGTTGGTATGTAGAGAATGTGAGTGTTTCAACAAAGTGACACATTGTTCCGTAGGGTTGTACCAATTTATTCTCCCACCTGCGGTATATGAGTGTTCTTGTTCTGCATTCTGTATAATAATTGGTGTTGTCAGACTTTATGTTTGTCAATTTGGTAGATAAAAACTGCTGTCTCGTTGTGATCTTAACTCATATTTCTTAGTTTGAGCACAGGTTGAGCATCTTTTTATATGTTTATTAGCCACTCATATTTCCTGTTCTATCAATTTCCTATACACAGTTTTTGTTTGTTTCTCTTTTTCTTATCAATTTTAGCCATTTGAAAACTAAATTCTGTATATTGTTGGTTGGTTGGTTATATGCGTAACACATATCTTCTTGCAATTTGTGACTATCTTTTAATCTTCTTTATGGTGTCTTTTGGTGAACACAGGTTCTTAATTTTAATGTGGTCGAATATATCTACTTTTTCTTTTATTGTCATGGTTTTAAAAAATTGTTTAAGAAGTTCTTCCCTACTCCAAGTTCATATAGATATTTTCCCATATTTTCTTCTAAAAGTTTAAAAGTTTTACTTTTTCCGTTTAAGACTTTAATTGGAAATTCTACCTTAAATTGATATTTTTTCAGTGTGAGACAGTGATACAATTTCAGTTTTTTCCATATGGATATTTAAATGTTCCAGTATCATTTATTGAAATGTTCTCCTTAACCCAAAGATCTCAAATGCTGTATCTAGCATATTATGTTTTCATGTATGTGTAGAGGTGATTTTTAGTTCTCTATTCTGTTCCTTTGGTCAGTTTTTCTATCCCTGGCCCAAGAGTGCAAAGTCTTAATTACTATAGCTTTATTGTAATTCTTAATATCTGGTAGAACAAGCATCCACGCCATGTTCTCCAAGAAATTCCTGGTTATTGTTGGGCCTTTACTTCTCCATGTACATTTTCAATTCAGCTTGTCAAGGTCCATTGAAAACCTTATTAAATTTTGATTGAATTTTATTGAATCTCTAGTTGATTTTAGGGAGAATTGACAGCTTTATGATATTTAATTCCTTTTAGGAATACTCTTATATCTACTTTAATCTCTCCCCTCCCCCCCCATGTCCCATTTGCTTTACTAGAAAACTGAGGTCCCCTTTGGCTGTCCTTTTCTCCCCAATTTGTAGTGATGTTCCTTTGGTTCTACTTTCTAAGTATCTCTCAAATCCACTTCCTGTCTCTGTTTCTGTGGTCTTTATCCTAGTCCAGAACATATTCTTATTTTGCTTGAATTACAGCAACAGTGTTGCACTCCTCTAAGCATTTATCTACACAGCAGCCCCGTACTGTTTCAGAATGTAAGGACACCTACCCGCAAGTCCTCAGAGCTACCTGAGTAGTGCAAGAGAGAGGTGGACATCAGCTAGAGGAGGAAGCAGGAGGAAGTGAAGACGTGTTCATTGAAATTTAAATTAGAAGAAAGACTTGATGAACTCAAAGAGTCAGCTAAGGGGCAGAGATCCAAACAGGGAAGGAAATAATAGATTGTACTCAGGTGGGGCAGAAGGACTTGGGGTCAAGGACACAGCTCTGAAAAGGAGCAGAAAGGAATCCATTAAAAAAACAGGAGGAAAAAAATGGAAAAAGAGGAAGATACAGATACACGAGAAGTGAAAGGGAGGGAAATTGAAGTGATGATATTTTCTATGGCAAGGTCATGTGCTGAGAGTGGGGATGAAAGGATGGATGTTGAGGCTGTAACAAGTGGAGTATTATAAATGCAAAGGACAAAGGACACAGCTTATCCAAGTTCAATCTCATTGTTTCTTTAGCAATTTAATGTAATTAAGGAAATGGGCTAAAGAGTCATAAGTATTTGTGTTTCTACATAGATAAATACATCAATTAGCTAATTATGAAAAAGCAGTTCTGTCTGAGTTTCGACTATTTTGACTAAATAGTTTAACTGGGTGATTTTTGATGTGAGTTTATTTTCTGGTATCCATGGGACCCTGTTAAGAGCACAGCAGGATGAAACAAAGGTTGATTAAAACCCCATCAGATATTATCACCGGAGATTTTTTACTACCTGATAGCTGCCCCGTATTCCCTTCAAGAAAATTACGAGGAAATTGGTGATAAACTAGTCTATAAATTTAAGTCTGGTTTAAGACTGCAAGAAAATAACCTTTAGCATTTAGTTCCCTAGGTCCACGTGTGTAAGCCTGCCTACGTACCTGCTTTGGGACAGGCCCTTGGGTGGGACCTGCTGCGATCTGAAGCCGGGCCTAGGTCCTCTTCTCGCCAAGTACCACAGTACCTGTGCCTTCGTCAGGCCTGTGTGTCCCCGTGTGAAATGAGAGTAGGGCTGGTGCTCAGCATTGCTTTTAATGTTTAAGGCTGTCATGTTCAGTAAATATTGGACAGAAGCATTCTCGCTCCTCTCACTCTCTCTCTCTCTATTTTTAAACCATTACAGGAAGCTGTGATAATGTTTAAGAAGGCTTTGGAAGTCTTTTCTCATTCCCAAAAAGGACCACATGCCATAGAAGCTTCAGTAGACTGTCTGTATAACTTGGGTCTTTGTTACATGGAGGAAGGCAACTTACAAATGGTATTTTCTGTTTGTAGGAACATAGGTTGCTTGTGATTTTAGAAATTGCTTGCACTCCGTTCGATTTCTGAAGGCTATCTATGTAGTGAGTGACTAGATCAAAGGTTCTTATCTTATAAAGTTTGGCTTACTACAGTCAGTATGCACCCTGCAATATCAACTACTCTGTTTTAGTTTTCAACACATTTTATTTGAGGCTTATTTGTCAACAATATTCTAAAGACTAATGTGTGTTTCCCACCCAAACAGTAAATCTAACTGCAAGCAATTATTATAGCAAAATAATTTCATCACATTAATATGAATTTACTTATTAAATTGTAAGTACTTTAAATTGAGTGCTGCAACATAATGTAGAATAAATGGAGAATGGTTAGGACACTGATTTCTCTTACTGACAGCTGACCAATTCAAATCAGATTGAAAGTGATTATTAAGATGGCCAGATTCTTTGAAAGCCAGTTGATTCCATTTTTATATTTATCCAGTATTTGGCTGTTTGACACACACCTCCATTTTAAAATTGTCAATGATATGATAAATATGTAAAATAATTGATATTTTCCAATGGCTAATGTTTGACATTCCACAGCTCTATCTCTCCACACACACACACACAACACCATTCCAGTCCTTATAGTCATAGGGATGGACAGTGTCTGAAACTTGCATCTCTATAACCTTGAGAAAGAGTTGCACTTGATTAGTTGTTCCATTAAGAGAGTCCAATAAATATAAGATTAATTACAAATCTTTTCCATGTTTTTAGTCTTTTTGACAACCAGAGCAAACCTAGCTTTGCTTTACAATGTTGGGTATAATTTTGGAGTTCCGTTGTTCTGAAATTTCATAGTTAATTATCTGCTGTCATTCTTGGGCCCTCATGGAAAACAGGTGTACTGGTTGTGATTTCTTTGAATGACACAATATGAAGAATAACAACTAAAATTATACCTGCAAAAATACTGTAATCTAACAAGGGTTATGTAAACATTAATCTGGAAGTAAGAGGACCTGTAAATTATAATAATAAACCTGATTTGTTCATATATATTTTGTTAGCTCCACAAAGTTCATTGGGAAAAAAGCATTTAAAATGACCCAAAAAATAATGAAAACTTTCAACAATAGTTATATATAGTAATTTATTAACATTTTAAATTAATATAATATTCTACTCACTAAATTATTTGTTTTTTAACAATATACTCTTCTAGGCTTTTGATTCTTTTACAAAAGCTGTGAAAGCAAATCCTAATTTTGCAGCAGGCTTTTATCAACGTGGGCTTTGTAAAGTAAAACTCCAAAAGGAGAGCTCGATCCTGGATTTTAACCGTGCAATTACCCTTGATCCACAATATTATGAGGTATTTAAATGAACAATTTCAGTGATTTAGAGAATATGCTAGATTTGCTAAAACTGTTAAATCACTTATATGTCTTATTATTAGTTAGCAATAATTGGTTACTTACATATCTACTTTTCAGCTAATTATGTTTTGATAATGCTTATATCTCTATTTCCCCTTGAACTAAAAATATTATTTCCAACAGGGATATTATATATGTAAAAATGTTTCCTGAATTGTGATGTATGTAAATATTGTTAATATTTTGATGTACCTATTAATAATTATAATTTCATATAGTTATTAATTTTATTTACTTCTTGTTTTGCTATCACATTTATTCCTGCCTTCTAAGAGACTGTAGTGACAATACAAAATTTGATAGGTTAAGTTTGATTACATCCTGATTTTACAAGTCTATGAATTTTAAATATGGACTAAATATTAGATGATTTTAGGGAAATACTATTAATTTCCTTAGAGGTATTATGGTAGTCTGATTATTCAGGAGAATGTCGTCTTCACAGAAGATGCTGGAAGACTTGGGGTGAATTGTTATGTCTACAACTTACTTTTACACAGCTCAGGAAAAAGTAAATACAGTAAACATTACAAAATGCTAGTAACTATTGAATCCAGGTGATAGGCATATGGGTGTTCATTGTACTATTCTTTCATTTATTCTGTATGTTTGAATTTTTTTTCTAATAAAAAAGTGGAAAAAAGACTAAATTTTATACCACCTTTGGGTGGCATAGATTTGTCCAAACTACCATATATGTTGGTAGAGTTGATGCTTTTATGACAATATCCATTCCTGCTTTCCTCCCCTCTTTCTCTGAAAAGGCATATTTGAGCCGAGTAGCCTTTTATGGTATGAAAGGCAGATACTCCAAAGCAATCTTGAATTGTAATGAGGCCATCAAAATTTATCCTCAGAGTGTGCGAGCTTATCTGTACAGAGGCGTTCTGAAATATTCCAACAAGGTAGGGCGACTTCCTGTCTTTACTGAAATCTTAGGGTGGGCAGATGCTTGGAGGCCAAGTAGGGATGGACTTCCTTTTATTCTCTGTGAGAGAAGAATTACTATGGTGTGAAGGGCAGAGCTGCATAGAACACCTTCCACTTCCACAGTCCATCAAAAGGGATTTCAACTATTTTTTATTGTTTTATTATTTTCTCTTTTTAGTTAAAATTTATTGGTATGTAGTAAAATCACACAGGTTTCAAGTGTACAATTCTGTAATACATCATCTATAGATCACATTGTGTGTTCACCACCCAGAGTCAGTTCTCCTTTCATTGCT